ATGTTTATAAACATATTAATAAAGCATTATTAAATGCTTATTAATAGTTTTTATTTAGAAGTTTAATTCTGATGAACTGATTTGTTCATCTTAATAAACTGTTTAWAGCTCATGAATAACATTATTAAAGCAGTAATAAATGCTTTAAAAATGTCTAATTCAAACTGAATTATTTTATTAACAACTGAGGACTAGTTTTCAGAGTTTTTCAGAGTTTTTCAGGTTCTTCCAGATGTTTGTTGCAGGGCAGCAGCTGGCAGGAGGTGGATTTTGGGTGTTTCAGGGTAAATTTCTGCTGACATGTTTTTAAACATCAAACCCGGCTGCCTCTGGTCTCCTGGGGGTCCAGGTGGTCTTGGACAGCTCTAACAGTCTAATAAAACCCCTGACGTGGACTGATCTGTCACGATTGTCTTTTTTGATCAGGCTCGGTCCAGTCCGGTCCAGAGAACCTGAAACAGGTCTAATGTAAGAAAAGCAAAGTGATGAAAGCAGCAGACAGTCTGAGCTGAAGGTGATGAAGAGGATGAAGATGATGAAGATGATGAAGAGGATGAAGAGGATGAAGAGCTGTGCACTTATTGTTGACTCCACCTCCAGTGTGTTTTCTGCCTAATGCTACTTTGCTTTGTCACTACAACAGTGGGAGGACTGGCTGCAGCTGGACTCTGGGGGTCCACGTCCTGGAAGGAGGTCTCTGATGTGCTACACAAAGATCGTCCCCTCTGGACCACACGGGGGGCTGAGAGGTCCTCTGAAGGCTCCAGATCCAGCCACGGTCCGGTCCAGCGGTCCTCAGGCGTCCTGTTGTTGTCTGCAGGCAGCGACGCCGATCACAGGGCCTGCAGCGCCCCCTACAGTACCAGAGGGCACCATCCTGTGGTTCTAGTCCTCCTTCGGTCCGGCCCAGTCCAGTCCAGACCAGTCAGCAGCTTGTTTTTGTTGTCCACGAGCACACACAAACATAAACACACACACAGACTGTCCTCCAGTCAGACCTCCCTCCCGACACGCGTGGAGGCCGCAGACCAAGAGGAGGATTGTGGGTCGGAGGAGGTTTGGGGGCGGGGTTACCAGTTCATCATGGAGCTTCTGTTCAGGGTCATGAAGAAGACTTGACTGCTGCCCCCGGACCGGACCGAGGCGAAGAAGACCTGCAGAGGACACACAGTCAGGTCCAGGATTAGACAGAGTCAGGTCCAGGATCAGGCTGAGTCAGGTCCAGGATCAGGCTGAGTCAGGTCCAGGATTAGAGAGAGTCAGGTCCAGGATCAGACTGAGTCAGGTCCAGGATCAGACTGAGTCAGGTCCAGGATTAGAGAATCAGGTCCAGGATCAGGGTGAGTCAGGTCCAGGATCAAACAGAGTCAGGTCCAGGATCAGACTGAGTCAGGTCCAGGATTAGAGAATCAGGTCCAGGATCAGGGTGAGTCAGGTCCAGGATCAGTCTGAGTCAGGTCCAGGATCAAACAGAGTCAGGTCCAGGATCAGGCTGAGTCAGGTCGAGGATTAGAGAGAGTCAGGTCCAGGATCAGACTGTCAGGTCCAGGATTAGAGAGAGTCAGGTCCAGGATCAGGCTGAGTCAGGTCCAGGATCAGACTGAGTCAGGTCCAGGATCAGACTGAGTCAGGTCCAGGATTAGAGAGAGTCAGGTCCAGGATCAGGCTGAGTCAGGTCCAGGATTAGAGAGAGTCAGGTCCAGGATCAGGCTGAGTCAGGTCCAGGGTTAGAGAGAGTCAGGTCCAGGATCAGGCTGAGTCAGGTCCAGGCTCAGGCTGAGTCAGGTCCAGGATCAGACTGAGTCAGGTCCAGGATTAGAGAGTCAGGTCCAGGATCAGGCTGAGTCAGGTCCAGGGTTAGAGAGAGTCAGGTCCAGGATCAGGCTGAGTCAGGTCCAGGCTCAGGCTGAGTCAGGTCCAGGATCAGACTGAGTTAGGTCCAGGATCTGACTGGGTCAGGTCCAGGATCAAATAGAGTCAGGTCCAGGATCA